TAGTCTTCGCGGTCTTAACGAATTCGTTAAGCTGAAGCTATGTGCCCAAGCATCCTAACTTTCTAGAGCGTCATACAGTTAGGTCGCTTTGCTGGCACTCTATCCTCTAACCAACTAGTCAGAATACATCGGTGTTTCGGCAAAGTCTTCGAAATATACTGTTACACAGGGTTACATCCTTGGTCTTGCATGTGCTTATATTTAAGAAGTACTGTTGACTAACGATTGGACTTTGAAACAGTTGATTTTTGTGCAAAAATCAACCACTAAGATTACTTCTACTTTACCGCCTTCCTCTCCTCGGTTTTCTTTTGATACTCTTTACTCTTCTCCAGTGACCTGTTCGAACAGCAGTTCTGCAACAGGGCGCTTGGAGAACCCGCTTCCATAGCAACTCAAGGACGAATGACGAATTCATCTAAAAACATAGCCATCATCAAGTGGCCCTCTAGGTACATTCGAGCAGAAACAGGTGAGTTGGTGGATCTACTTCTTCGGAATTCAGGAAGGGCATGGGAATTTTTTGCAAGACACATAAACGAGTGTGGGAAAGATTAATGGCTGATACCAGTTACTATAATGGGTTCCGGAAATAAGGTTATGGACACCAATCAACCTTCTGTCACCCTGTTTTAAGTGTAACCTGCGCGGTCACCATCTCACTTTGACTTCATTACTCTTTCCGTTTCCATATTTTGTACTATTATTTTATTCATCCCCTCTCTTTTGTGTGGGTCCTGGAGTCTCAGCCCATTTGCTCCATCTACTGCTTTCCTCGTGCCTCTTTTGGTCTGTCTGGGCGTGACGTTTTCCCTTTTCTTCTTCCTGAACTTCCTCTCCTTCGTTTTCCTATTTCATCATTTGAAACAAACCAACTTTGTTTTACAACCAGTGCTAGAAGATGCCTTTAAAAAGACGTTTGAAGCATCCTCCTGCTCTCACTTCTAGAAGGAACCACCTATCTCCCTGCTAGCTTAACTATCAACCACCCACACTGTGGGTTTGCCGCAACCACGGGCTGTTTGAAAAGGGGAGTGACTTTTCACACTCAGCTAGATTCCTGGCACTTCTTGAGTTTACATATCAAAGGCCGTTGTACCTCTGCTGTAATCGGAGTACTACCCGATTAAATGGAGACGGAAATGCTTAATGGGTGCATTCCTGTGGTTTCTGCCACATAGTGAACCAAAAGTATCGTAAAATTGATTGTGGCAGGACCGGGTACCAATTTACAGCGGCCTCTGGCCTGGGGTGCACTCGGGTAAAAGAAGCGAAAACGCTTCTAAATACTATAAATAAAAAACTGTCATCGAAAGTCAAAGCCAATAACTGTGACAGTGATAACGACACAGCACCCACTGGCTCACAGATTGCTGCGCAAAGTGTTAAGGAAGTCCCACAACAAGCTACAAATCGGGCGTGTAGACTGACTACAAGGCTTGCTGAGAGGGACTGGAAAATGCTACAGCAAACAGAGTGAAGCGAGTATCTTCTGGTTCTTGCATCTGCAGAGCTGGCAGACGCAGTCTGAAAACTGCTGACCATAGGAGTAGGTCTACTTCAGATAGAAGAAACAAGAGTGAGGCACTCTCAGAATGTAGAGACCCAGAACCACGTAAACGTTTTGAACATGACTTTTGCAAGGTGCAAAGTTTGATAAACTAGCTTTTACCGGAAAACACGCCAGGGGTCAGCCTAATCAAGATATATAGAGTAAGAAAATGGGAGACAGTCATTACTAAAATCAGCTTTTGGCTACTTAAAGTCATGTTCAAGTGAGCAGATGAGAGGAATCGGATTCTGAAGAGTGCTGGCAGACTTCAAGGATCTACAGTGTTCGAATCTGGCTCCTGCAGATGGAACCAAAAAACAATAAGCAGAACTTAAATTCAGAGCGGGATCTGAAAGTAGTGGGGTTTCGTATAGTGAGGTTTCGGCACCAAATGATGCCGAAGCCTCTTTGGATAGGACGGAAGCTCATCCAAGTAGTTTCGTTGTCCTGTGCACAAATGCACATAGTCTCCTAAACAAGAGAAGAGAGCTCAGTAATGTGATAAGCAAAGAAGGTCCTGACACTGATTTCTAGGCAACTCGGCTTTTTTCCTCGACCGGCGACTGCGAAGCACACCTGCTAGGATTCGTCCCTTTAGAAGTGACAAGTTAGCACTCAGAGGTGATGGTGGCATCCCTTACATCAAGAACACACTAACTGTAAAAGCCAAGGAAACAGTCGAACTGGAAAGTGGGACATGGGAAATAATGCCATACCAACTAGACTGCAAGGAACAAGATGTTGACGTAATCGCAATATATGGAAGCCCTGAACGTGAGGCAGCAGATTTCCTCCTGAATAAGCTGACCTCCAGGATAGATAAAAGTTGATGCCTAGTTGTAGGAGACTTCAACGTACCATCATTTGACCGGGAAAAAAATGACAAAAAGACGTCACGTGCCTCGTTTGATCACAGGTTAGTGGAAACATCAATTTCCTTAGCCCTCACACGGCGCACCAACACAGGAACCACGCATTACCATCAGCATGCTCCATCAGTTTCAGACTTGGTATTCTCACACACAAATGATGTATGCTTGATCTATCACCTAGCACCCTTTGATGAAAGCGATCATGCTGTGATCATTTTCAGATTCGCAGCAGATGTTATATACCAGGTGGACGACCCAGCTATACTCAGCATGTGGAAAGTCGATATAGAAGCTATCAGTATGGCGCCTCCTACGAAGAACTGAATAGCCAATTCAGAAGACTCGTTTGAAGGTGCATAGAAGTGCTTCCAACAGTTATATGCACGAGTGACCTAACCGTTTATCACGCGGACTGAACTGTGAGGACAGAAATATTGTCTAACATGCATAAACGACGGAATCCAAACGCTGCTACAACGTTAGAGAAAACGTCGGGGTATTGCAATCCACCGCTGTTCACGCAGAGAGGAAGCAATATAAAGAAGCTAGCAATCAATGCATCGACGCTATCCGCCAGTCACGAAAATGCTATAAAAAACGTTATGTCGCGGCTGAATTGCAACACTACAACAGTTAAATTACTTCCACAAAACAAGGAAATAAGAAATGGTACGGCAAAACCAACAAAAATCAATGAGTCCGAAACTGACTGTTTGATTGAGGACGATGGAGAAAATGCAGAAGCCATGGCTGGACGTTTTGCTGAGGTCTTCACACAAGGGTCCCCTATGGGCACTTATTCAAAAGCAGAAGCACTGATAACCAACAGAATAAACTCTATGAATGTCGATCGCAATGATGCATTTCAGACCTGAAGTGCTCTCGGTGTAGAAAAATCAATGGGACCGGATGAGCTGCACCCAAGGCTGCTCAGAGAGCTTGCACTCTATGCATCCGGTCCATTGACTACTATATTCAGACTGTCTCCCAGTGAAGGTGCACTCCCCCATGACTGGAAGGATGTCATAGTAACACCTATCCACAAGGCAAGTTCTGGGTAGCGCCCATCAAATTACAGACCGATAAGTTTGACTAGTACTGTAGTGAAAATCCTAGAAAGAGTAATCAGGAAAGCCATCATAGTCCACCCAGATAACAACACTATATTGTCTCGTCCACAGCACGGTTTTCGCAGAAATTTCCATTGCTTGACGAAACTTCCTACAGCCAGAGAAAGTTAAGTTACATCTAAAGATGATAGGACACCTGTAGATGTCATTTTCACTGACTTTAGCAAGACGTTCGACGAAGTACCTCATTCCAGGTTGCTTGGGAAACAGGGAAAGTTTTGGAATCACTGGCAGTCTGCTCTCATGGACAGGAGATTTTCTTGTCGGAAGAGACGAAGAGTTAGGATCAACTCTCAACCCTCCACTTAGAACTCAGTAGAGACCGGAGTGCCACAAGGCACAGTCCTGGGCCCCCTGCTGTAAATGAGCTGCCAGATATCACGAAATCCCCTATGGTTCTCTGCGCTGATGATGTAAAAACCTGGCGGGAAATTAGGAACGGTGAGGATATATGTGCACTTCAGGCAGACCTGAACAGCTTGTTTATCTGGTCAGGGGAGCGGCTGATGCCTATCAGTGCTGGTAAATGCGTGAGTATGCACTTGGTGCACACACAGTAACACCCACGATATTGATGGGACTCCTTTGCCGTCAGTACTGACCCACAATGACCTGGGAGTCACGGTCAGTTACAACTTGGAAACCATGGCTCACTGTCGGTTGGTAGCAGCTCAGGGTCTCAGGACTCTCTGGGCATTACGCAGAACGTCTACGAAACTTAGTGGTGGACATGTTCACCATCTTATACGCATCCTTACATGGGTCTTAACCAGAAAACTGTACACGGCGGCTAATCCTTGTCTGAAAGATGACGCAGACCTTCTAAAAGGAGTTCAGAGGACAGCCACTCGTATGATCCCTGCAATGGCTGGCCTCACCTACGAAGACCGACTTAAGGAGCTGAACCACCTCACTTTGTCCTATCGCAGACAGAGGGGAGACCTAATCATGCTATACAGGATTCTAAGAAATGACTACGGACCCGATCTACCTTCTCTTTTCATTCCCACTAGGTCGGAACACCTCAGAGGACATAGTAGGAGACTACGAAAGCAAAGAACAAACATAGTCTCCACAGAGTACTGGTTCTCACGTCGAGTAATCAATGCTTGGAGCCGACTCCCAGAAGAAGTGGTGGCCGCGTCATCAACCGACTCCTTCAAAAGGTGGCTGAACCAGCACAGGAATCTACTGGCAAAGGATTCATATAGGCTCCCTGCCTCCTACCTCCAAACAAGAATTCCTAATCGTAATCCCTGTTAATTTAACTTTCAACCACCCACCATCTGAGTTTATCGTAGCTACAGTCCTTGAGTTGATGGGTCTACTGTATGAGAATGGAACAAAGATCTTAAATGATTCTATATGGCTTAGAAGTAAGTCTGGTGTCTACAAGTTCGCTGACCATTCATTGGATATTGATGGCACTTTGTGTTATAAGACATTGGAAAACAGTGTAGCCCTTTTTAACACAATCCAATTCCAATAAGCTGTTATCGGTGATTGTAAATGGTTTGTCTTAAAGTGTGCATAGCTATAATCTGACTTAGGAAAGTAAAACGCTGGTGATTCAAGGATGTCTTTCTGTATTCGGAGGAATTCTGCTGCACCTTACGTTTGGTTACTTTTATACTATATGTAAGTCAAAAATTAAACTATTGAAATTCTGAAGCGAACATGATTCCTTACATCATGGATTATTTGAGAATGTACGTCGATGCCAGTTTGTCAGATAAGGATGCGATATGGTTATCAGCTCTTGGGTTTTGCATGCAAGGCTTTTCAATGCCAGCTGGTGGGGCAGTTGCCAAAAAATTGGGATTTAGAGTTGTTGTTGCCACAAGTTGTTTATTTTTAAGGTAAGTGATACATTCGATTTGAGCAAAATGATTTTACATCATTTTCAATAAATATGGTTCAAACGTAAAATAAGAGTCATTAATAAAGGTCTTTGAACTTCACGTCCTATCCTAGAAGTCTAAATAGTATTCTTTGCTCAAAACAAAGAAAAGTAGGTCATACTTAACTTGCCTTTAACTATTTTAAAGACAGCTATGTTATTCACGATTAGTTAGTAGTTTTCGGTAGATAAAGTTATCACTTAAAACACAGAAACTCGGCTTTTTCGAATTGAGTTGCAGTTGTGCTTTTCGAGTAAATGAACGGAAGTTGAAAATTCTTTTGTCAGCGAGAAGAATTGTTGGTTACTTATTTCTGATTTCATGGACAAGTCATTTCACAAACGTGAGATATCTGCATGATGAATTTTAGCATGTATTAACATCGAACTTATTGATTGCATTTGAAGTTATTTCTGTTCAGTATTTCCAAACGCTACCTTTTCATCTCTATGACGGCCACAACATTGTGTGCGTAAAATTTTGATATACATGAAATTATTGAGATGAGCGTTAATTAGGCACATTGATGCACCCGCTCTAATGTTCTGGAATCGAACAAAGAGCCTTTAATTGTTCAATGCACAGTATTACACTACTGAAGATTAAACTACTGTTAAATACGTGAAATTTAACATTGCATTTATGCAAAGCACATTTCTTCTACGATATGAGGTATATTTAGCTTCTGATTCACATTGGTTGTTTGGAGGTAGGAGGCAGGGAGCCTATATGAATCCTTTGCCAGTAGATTCCTGTGCTGGTTCAGCCACCTTTTGAAGGAGTCGGTTGATGACGCGGCCACCACTTCTTCTGGGAGTCGGCTCCAAGCATTGATTACTCGACGTGAGAACCAGTACTCTGTGGAGACTATGTTTGTTCTTTGCTTTCGTAGTCTCCTACTATGTCCTCTGAGGTGTTCCGACCTAGTGGGAATGAAAAGAGAAGGTAGATCGGGTCCGTAGTCATTTCTTAGAATCCTGTATAGCATGATTAGGTCTCCCCTCTGTCTGCGATAGGACAAAGTGAGGTGGTTCAGCTCCTTAAGTCGGTCTTCGTAGGTGAGGCCAGCCATTGCAGGGATCATACGAGTGGCTGTCCTCTGAACTCCTTTTAGAAGGTCTGCGTCATCTTTCAGACAAGGATTAGCCGCCCGTGTACAGTTTTCTGGTTAAGACCCATGTAAGGATGCGTATAAGATGGTGAACATGTCACCACTAAGTTTCGTAGACGTTCTGCGTAATGCCCAGAGAGTCCTGAGACCCTGAGCTGCTACCAACCGACAGTGAGCCATGGTTTCCAAGTTGTAACTGACCGTGACTCCCAGGTCATTGTGGGTCAGTACTGACGGCAAAGGAGTCCCATCAATATCGTGGGTGTTACTGTGTGTGCACCAAGTGCATACTCACGCATTTACCAGCACTGATAGGCATCAGCCGCTCCCCTGACCAGATAAACAAGCTGTTCAGGTCTGCCTGAAGTGCACATATATCCTCACCGTTCCTAATTTCCCGCCAGGTTTTTACATCATCAGCGCAGAGAACCATAGGGGATTTCGTGATATCTGGCAGCTCATTTACAGCAGGGGGCCCAGGACTGTGCCTTGTGGCACTCCGGTCTCTACTGAGTTCTAAGTGGAGGGTTGAGAGTTGATCCTAACTCTTCGTCTCTTCCGACAAGAAAATCTCCTGTCCATGAGAGCAGACTGCCAGTGATTCCAAAACTTTCCCTGTTTCCCAAGCAACCTGGAATGAGGTACTTCGTCGAACGTCTTGCTAAAGTCAGTGAAAATGACATCTACAGGTGTCCTATCATCTTTAGATGTAACTTAACTTTCTCTGGCTGTAGGAAGTTTCGTCAAGCAATGGAAATTTCTGCGAAAACCGTGCTGTGGACGAGACAATATAGTGTTGTTATCTGGGTGGACTATGATGGCTTTCCTGATTACTCTTTCTAGGATTTTCACTACAGTACTAGTCAAACTTATCGGTCTGTAATTTGATGGGCGCTACCCAGAACTTGCCTTGTGGATAGGTGTTACTATGACATCCTTCCAGTCATGGGGGAGTGCACCTTCACTGGGAGACAGTCTGAATATAGTAGTCAATGGACCGGATGCATAGAGTGCAAGCTCTCTGAGCAGCCTTGGGTGCAGCTCATCCGGTCCCATTGATTTTTCTACACCGAGAGCACTTCAGGTCTGAAATGCATCATTGCGATCGACATTCATAGAGTTTATTCTGTTGGTTATCAGTGCTTCTGCTTTTGAATAAGTGCCCATAGGGGACCCTTGTGTGAAGACCTCAGCAAAACGTCCAGCCATGGCTTCTGCATTTTCTCCATCGTCCTCAATCAAACAGTCAGTTTCATACTCATTTATTAGGGCGGGTTTACCACGCTACGTGTTATTAGTAATTTTTCAAGGTTTGTCGACGCTGTATCTCTGAGTGCTTGGTTCTCTTATAGTTATTGATGGAGACTAATGGAGTTAAACGTCTTTTTAATTGTGAAACTTATTCCTAGCTTGCAATTTGAAATAGCTTTTCGAGGTGCTTTTAGTATGCAGTGAAGTCTGTTTCTGTTTATTTCGCCAACGTACTGGTTTACAAATAGTATGCACATCTGAATCACTATTTATTGCATTTCAACTTCACTGTACACGCAACTCTAGGTTAACTGTTGCGTGACCGGTTCGCAACCACTTTTGCGTAAATAAATACTCCCACTTGCATTCTCATTTGATAGACTGATAACCACGAAGTACGGTCGCAAAAGAATAAGTTTTGTGTTTCATTTTTCAATATCTCAAGGTATAATTTAATTTCAAATGATTTTTCAACCCTTACAAGACTAGAAGGATGCACAAACAGAGCATTGACAAGTAATCAAGTGAACGCTTTCCCGGAATAAATGATCTGTAAAAACGTAAAACGGATTGAATGGTTGTCGTTAAACAAAAATGTTCTGATAGTGGCCAAATCTTTGGTAAAATATACCCGGTTATTTCCATGTAAGATGGTTGGAATCCTTTTAACAACCCTCAAGATTTATTCCTAAGCTAACGCACAGCATGAGAAAGTATAGGCTAGTGAATATAGAATTAAATACTCTTAAGTGGATATTGACCCTAAATTTGAAGTATTTTCCAACCAATCATCAGGTGAGATTACTGAGCTGCTCCAAACTAAGTAGCAGCATGGAAAGGTAAATCAATTCGAAACGCAAACAAAATGACAAATTATCCGACTGAAGTGCTTTTGAGTGACTGTGGCATAATAAAGTATTAAAAGTGGGACTGATGTTTTGTAAAATAGCCAGAAGCTGACAAATGCGAAATAACTAAACAAATCTGGCGTTTTGGAGCGTTGCGAGCAACAAAATTGACGTGTGTCTTTGGAAAGAAGTGAATAAGTCTAACTTGCCACAACAGCCAACGTAAGTGGAGTGGACCAAAAGGTACCAATATTAGGCTTAACGAAATACATGAGAAGCAAGATAAACAATCAGACATGTGTAAATTAAAATTTTAGCATTCTGAAGTACAAAGTTAAATATATTTCAAGAAGCATTTTCTATGCCTACCAAAGTACTAGACAACTTGAACGATAACTTGTAATATTAAGAGATTCTTGCATATTCTGCAGTCTGACGGACAGTTTTACAGCCGTTTGCATTTCATCACCAACAGCTGTAGGCCTCACATCTTCAAAGCCAAAGGTGTTAATATAGTGCTGGACTTGTTTGCATTTCAAACTACTTTTGTGCCTAAAAATGTCTTTCCAATCCTATATACATCATCTTTTTATTAAAGCAGTGCTTTCAAGTTTGATGCATTTAGCATTTAAACAATGGTAATCCGATATAAAGCTATCGGCTGTGCATATCGTACTACGGGGCTGAATTTTAATTTTTCTGGTGGAATTAATAGGAATGGTCTTCTATGAGTAGAAGAATTAGGCACTTTTATCTGCATAGTTATTTCCACCTTCAGAATATGTTAAACTGCAAATTTTACATCAATGTAACCACTAGCATACTTTCGTAATTTGGGGGTATTTTAAATGAAAAGCGCAAATTATTATTGGCTAGAATGTAAATCAGGCATTAAACTGATTATTCGCTGGTGCTTTCATATGTTTACTGATTGAAACTTGTTAATATCGATTGACGAGAACGTTTGTGGTCATTGAAAAGCTAAGGGGTTGTAAAAATACAGTTAGCTAACTAGATGCAGTGATAAATATCAGGGTTGAGTTTGACTGCTTGCTTACTCTTCCACCGCATGAGGTCAGCTATAGTTAGCTCAGTGAAACCTATCATTTATGGATGTAGTGTGGTGGTATTAAATTAGGCTTTTGGTAACTAAACCAATACCAGTATCATATGAGAATTCTGCAGGGATTTTATCGTGTTAAATTCATTTGAAGACAATATAACTCACATTCAAATTTGAGAAAGCCTCCACATAACTACAGACTATTGTTGTGCAAATTTGAAGGGTATATTTGGTGAGATAAAGGTTTCTACCAGAAGAGTTTTGCTTGCAGTCAAGTCCAAGTTCTAAAAGTGAAGTCAAAGTAATGAGCTACCCCTGATTTTACTTCTTAAGGAAAATAAAGTAGCTCAATTCAAGCATGGTTAGTGAGTTTGAATAGTAGTTTTAAAATTTTAAGTTTAAGGTGCACCAATACCGTAATTTTATAAATATCAACTAATGCTTCAGACCACTTTTATTGCCTACATTCAGAACGAACAGCAGTGGGATGACAATTATTTGCTTACATCAACACAAGGTTTTTCAGTTTATCTCACAGTATTCAGGGTTATAAGCATTCACTTTCATAGCTCTCAAAGCACTTGGTATTTACATCTCATTTGTAGATATCTATTCCATTAGGTGCATTCTTACCTAGAGACAATGATTAAGCCACAGACAGAGGACTGTAGAAAATCGTTACACCTGATAATAAGTCTTGAATTTGATGAATGCAACATTGAATAAGACAAGAAGGGATGAGTTTGCGGAATCTAATGAACCAAGCATACTTCTCTGCATTATCGTCAGTTTTAAACAATTCATTGAGATCAAAAGCTTATTCAGGATAGCCACCCACGTATTTGATATCGATAAATGAGGTGACTGTGAAAGAACAGCAAAACTGTTTGGAAGATGTTGTACAAGACCATGACTGAAAGTATTTTTTGCAAGCAGTTTTATGAATGATCTGCTACTTTGTTCTGTCGATATCTTTTATTTTATTGACGGAGCGAAGCGACCACTTGGTTAGTTCTGCTTAAAGATTTAGTCAGTTTGTGCCCCACTTTACGTTTGCCAAAAGGTTTCCTGCAATTGCATCGTTGCGTCGTAGAATCAGGAAATTGTTTAAAACCTTCCAAGCATTGTAGCCTATTAGAAGGGAATAAAAGCACAGTTATGAATATGATTGCACTCAGGGAATAAGTAAGTTTATTATGGAAAACTTGTGTTTCGGCATTTTTCCAAAGAGATTATCTTCTGAGGACTCAACAAAAAGGGAAGTTACACAGTAGCTGTTTTTATCAGATAAAAAGTTTTATTTAGGTCTGTGTGACTTGGTCAGTTTTTATATTTATCTGCATACCTTAGGAGCACAATTCTACTTTTATCCCTGAAACTAGTTCTAATCAATAAACTTCAAGCCGCTCTTGCAATAAAAACATCCTACTTTTTATCGTCTAACCAAAGTGAACTATGCATCAGCTTATTTTGAATATTTGTAAAATAAACTTAAAATAAACAAAGCGGAAAAATAAATTTTCGGTTTTATTTTGAAAATTCGCTTTACAACTCATTTAAACAACTAGCAAATAAATGATACGCGATTAGAATATGTCCCACGTTATCAAAAAGCAATTAGAGTACAATATGTTCAAAACAATTTCAGGGTGTATCAAAATTCATAAAGAACATTTGAACTCGATGAGACTTTTGCCAGTCATTGTAGAAATATAAGAGTATTTAAGGCTACGTTCAAAACTCATATGATTCACAAGCAGTTGTGTCTCCAGCAATTAATTTGTCGTAATGAATTCTGTATCTTTATTTTTCTTCAAAATAAATAAGATCTGAAACCATCTGATTGAAGAACTCTGTATTAATATTACAGCGGTTTATTACGCACATACAATGCGTCATTTATTTTAAGTGTGTCTTTCAGAAATAAAAATTTGCTTATGTTCAAAATACTTGTTGTTGTAGTGATATTTCTACGGCGTTAGCTATAGTAACTCTGATTGATATATAACTGATGAGATCAAAGCTTCTGAACTATTTACTGATAGTTTTCTTCTTATGTTTTAGGATTCGGTGACAGTACTAGTCCAGCATGTGTTAAGACTTTTTGAATGCATCCATTATATTGGGATTCTAATACCTGAAGTATAAACAGTGGCAACAGAAAGATTAAAGTAGGCAGTGAATTCAAAGTTAGCCATCAAGTTTATTTTCCATGACTCTGAAAAATAAATTATCAGTGTATGCAGTCTTTTCAATTACAGCATGTGACCAACTTATCTTGAAACACCTCTCATTTGCTATGCATGAATATGAAGAACAAGATATACATACATATTTTTTTTGCATTGAATAGTTTTAACTTTCTCTATTTTGTTGAATATTTTTTAGCGGTAGCGTGTTTGTTACGTACTTTACCATCCAAAAAACGTTATTGGCGTTATAGTGACGTATTCACTATTAATGGGGGTAGGAATGGGATTCGCCTATTCCGTTGTCTTGGCTGTAGCTACAACAGTAAGTTCCATTCTGTGACACTATTTTGTCATGTGAAAAAACAAAGGCTACTTGAAACATTTCAAACTGTGATTTAACACTAAGTTTTATTAACGTTTAAACAAAAACCGAATAAAAGAAAAGTGAAAAAATCGGAAATGAATCGAACAAGTTATGGCTGAGAAATGAACTTTACGCCATTTGTGGTTGTACCATTGAAAGTGAAATTATTAACTAGGCACTAAAAGAAGCAAGTATTATTTCATAATACTTGCAAGAGCCTAAGGTGTTGCTGAGTCTTGATTCTATCTTCGTAAATTTACAACGGGTTTGACAGTAGTATGCATTTTACTAATAGCTAGTCTAGTTCAGTCTTTTACTAAGACCACTTGGAAAATATTATGATGAAAGATTATGTTAAGATTACCAATGACTGTCAATCTTAAAGTATTTTTACACTAATGGGCAGTTACATTTGTACCACAACTTCAGTAAATATCTTGTTTTCCTGCCTACTTCTCATATTCATGAACGTTTGATTTTAATGGGCTGATATATCAACAAGCCACGTCTGTACTGACCTGGATAGTGATATGACAACTTGATACATTGTTCAGGTTGAATTTTTTCGTTGGCAAGTTTATTATCAAGAAAAAGTATACAGCTTTCACGTTAATTAAAAATATCCTTTTACTTCAAGTTGACTGTTAGTAATCAATAAAATTCAGGACGTGTATACAGTCTTCTTTTAGCATCAGTGTAGGTACATTCGGCAATATACCGCCTACTGCTAAAATTCATATGTGAAACGCCACTCAGCTACACTAATTTAAACAGGAATATATACTATGCGACCACCTTTTACTAGGGCTTGATTATTTTCTGGTCTACAAAGTAGGTAAGACAAGCTGCTGTTAACAGGTTTCACTATATTCTGCTTAAAATTGCTTTTATAATTATCCTATTAGATAGTAACTGTATTAAAGTTATGATTGTTAACACCGCAAAACAAATGACTGAATAAATATTGTAGTGAATGAGGAGAAGAAGACTGTGAACTATGTCTATGTTGCCTAAGATTTTTGCCCACAGGGTGAAGTACATTCTTTCGAGTTTTTAATAGACATCAGTTAATCAAATAAAATGTTATATTCAGTATGATTTGCAGAAAACACTTCATAGTGAATTTAAAACAATTAGTTCCCTTTATAAACTTCGACAAAACAATAGGAAGACGTAAATTGTCTGGACCGTGTAATTTATTTGCGCAACACATTTCGAACTATCTGATCACACACGTACTTGTCATAGGTATTTTTATAAAAACTCATGAATATAAGGGGTGAGAAAATAAAAAGGGGTCAGGTAGGAAGGCTGACTTAAAGTCCGAATAACAATGAAAATCAATAGAACGAAAAAATAATAGTACATCGAACTTGGTTTTCAATAGTTGAATTTACCAAGGAAGATTTATTGTGACAACAAATTGTTTATGAACATATAAACGTGGTTTCAACTTCCTAATAGCTAAGGCCTCAACAAATTTCAGGATCCCTCCCCAACATGTTTTGTAAATAGGTGTAAAGGAAGTAGCCACATCAATTTTGTGACTTGTCTCAACGATATGTTTGGCGATCGAAGGACTTGGACGTCTGCTACCAACATTTATAGGTTCAGGTGATTTAATTTGCTTCTGAAGCCACTTTGGAATATGTTCCGAGGCCATTAACTGAATGGATCTATTAGTCCTCCCTGTGTATGTGTCACCCCACGTACATCCCATTTTATCTACCAATTCAAATGTACGTGGGGTGACACATACACAGGGAGGACTAATAGATCCATTCAGTTAATGGCCTCGGAACATATTCCAAAGTGGCTTCAGAAGCAAATTAAATCACCTGAACCTATAAATGTTGGTAGCAGACGTCCAAGTCCTTCGATCGCCAAACATATCGTTGAGACAAGTCACAAAATTGATGTGGCTACTTCCTTTACACCTATTTACAAAACATGTTGGGGAGGGATCCTGAAATTTGTTGAGGCCTTAGCTATTAGGAAGTTGAAACCACGTTTATATGTTCATAAACAATTTGTTGTCACAATAAATCTTCCTTGGTAAATTCAACTATTGAAAACCAAGTTCGATGTACTATTATTTTTTCGTTCTATTGATTTTCATTGTTATTCGGACTTTAAGTCAGCCTTCCTACCTGACCCCTTTTTATTTTCTCACCCCTTATATTCATGAGTTTTTATAAAAATACCTATGACAAGTACGTGTGTGATCAGATAGTTCGAAATGTGTTGCGCAAATAAATTACACGGTTCAGACAATTTACGTCTTCCTATTGTTTTGTCGAACTTCATAGTGAAGTGAGTCTGTTATTAAGGCAATTCAGTTAGCGTTTAGAAGCTGTTGGCTTCTGAAATGTTTTCATATGGGGTATAATTGATTAGAACGAATTCGCTTATTTACAATCTGTGTTTCAAAACAGATCTCAACACATGTATGACGACACTGTCTATCAACTTGTTTCATGGCGTACATTAGTTTCTAAATGTTTGCATAAGGCTTTTGATAATGTATTTATAAATAATATGTGCTAATATGCGTTGCAAAAATATTTACACTCAATGAGATGCATTTCTTGGAACAGTCTCATGGACAATCACTTGATCGACTAATTCTGTCTTCTAAATGGTAGTCACTTAAACCGATCACTCAAACAAATCAACATTTAGTGATTGATTGTGCCAAAAAGATTACTTATAGTTCATGAATATGCCGAATACTTTAAGGAACAGCGATGAAGATTATCATGGCAATCTATGAAATTCGAAAAAATGCCATGGGAGAACTTTATTGTATGCAGCATTTTCGAAGCTGAATGAACGGAAGCCAACTAAGTGTTAAGATTGAGCTATGTGACTACTATCGCATCTGAAACACAAATTTCGACAAAATTTATTCGAAATTGGGGTTGAACATCATGGCTTGCTCAGTTCAATAGTTGTTCAAGAGTATTCCATAAGACCCATCCAGACTTGTCGGAATATTAGGGAAGTAACCATTTATTCGTGGAGCTGTGGTTGGTTGGCTTAAGCAGTTGACTTTCAACCAATAAGTTTATAGCTTAAACCCCGTCCAACCTACCAAGGTGTGGGCAGCCAGGTAGTATCTTTAATCTTCAAACAATAGATAAGGCTCATTACTTACTCCATGAATGTATGCAAGATGGGCAATTGATTCTAAATTTTGAATTGATCACTCTAATAATGAGCATGAAGATTGTTGTGGAAAGCACAGTGATATGCAATTATGAACTAAAGCAGGGTCGATTCTTGAAATTACCTAAGTGTTGCATTGGAAAAATATTTCTTTAGAATCCACCAGATTGACCCAGATATTGCAATTTTTCTCTTTTCCATGAGATGAAAAGCATTTGTGAAGTAAGTTTTAATCAAAAGCTGTGCGAAATACATTGAGGTAAATCGGTTTGAAAAAACAAATAATGCTTCCGAACTTTCTGATGAAATAGACAATCTAGACCTCTCAAAGTTGTTGCTGTTGTAAGAATACTGCGGTGATTAGTTTACTCAGGTGCATATTCTCAGCCTACAGCCGACTCCATTATTGAGCTTCAAAGTTAACAGTTTCCTCGGCTAACGCTGAAACTATGTGAATGTTCATCAAAACTATATTACGAAGGCAACCGTGGTCAAACATCAGAAACCGTCTCATGTCTTCTCTCCTTAATTGCCACGTTTCCCACCCATACAGTAAAACAAAACACACTTTAGCTCAGTACACTCGATTCTTAATCGACAATCAGATATCGTTTGGCGCCATAAGTGGCATAATATGGCAAAAGCCAGTCGAGCCTTTAGTATCCACGCAGAGATTTCGTCGGTCACTAAACTGCCAGGCTGACCTGACTGATAAGGTAAGTGAAGTGGTCAACACGCTCAACCTCTTTACTCCCTATTACTTGACATACTGCCACTAAAGACAAGTCCTAGATGAATGCTATCCCCAGACGTTTGTTTTAAAGATTGATGAATAGGAATCGGTATTAATTCACCTTCTGTTAGCAATAAATAATACTAAAGTCTACTCTTTAATATCGTTGAAATGTTTGGAACTCTTGTCAGAGAGACTATTTGGGGAGTTCTGAGGTAAAATACAACGGCAAGTTGTTTTACAATTCTTTAGTTTTAAAAAGCAACAGAATAAAACAGGATATGAAGCAGAACTCTGGTTTTAATTGTGAATTAGTGATATTTTTTGACAATATACGGAGCCAGAATAATATATTAAAAAATTGGGAAAAGATAAATTATAATTGTTGCATATCTTTTTTCCACTGTTATCCTCTTCTCTGTTACTTACATAAAGCCATGTCACAAGCGTTCATTGCTGAGTAGTCTTGGTTATCTCATGGATGTCAGCGGGATGTAATGCAGATCATGACGTCATTTCGATCGACTGTAGAACTATAGCTCATTGGCTTAAGTACTCTACTGCTCACCAATATGTCTCGAGTGTATATTCCAAACTACCTACTAAGAATTTGAGGGCAAAACAGTATCATCAACCATCATACATCAAATTTACTTCATAGCGTAGTATTTCAGCGTGTACTTAATATACAGTGCTGTCGTTTTTGACTGTTCATTCTAAAGCCCTACTGTTTCCTCTTAATGCTTAAAACTATTGATGTCAGCTGGTTGAGTGAACCGGGTCTACACTTCACATCAACTCAGTGAATGATTTATGAACTTTTCTTTCTAACTGTTGATGCAAATGCGCTCCTTTAGAATTACACATTTATGTATCAGCCAAAACTAGCCTTCAGATGTTATAAATGCAACCTTTGCTAAACAACGTGTTCATGTTAACTTGCTAATCGAAACTGCAATTTTTTGGAAAAACGCTCCACATCAGTGCAGAATCATTTAACCAAAAATGTCAGACATTGATCTGATCGAAACTAAGACTCGGAAATAGCATCCACTTTGTCCAAACAGGTTATCACTCAAATCTGACAATAAGTATAGGGAATAAAGGTGGGGCAACCAGTTGGTCGAGTGGAGATAAAGCAGATGAAAATCTATTCAGATGACAGCAAGTGTCCCTGTTTACAGTAAAAAATGAATTTTACTTTTGGTTCTGTTAGGTACTGAAAGCAGTACACTGAGAAACTATGCCTATTCCAAGTTTTGAAGTTGGAATAACAATATTTGCTCTTGATCACTGCGTCATTACAATCACTCATGGTCTTGGTACCTCTATCATAAAGTTTTGATGTCAAGTTTGAGGAGTACAAGTCTCCGTGTTTCGAGGTTACATGAAATTCTGTGATTACGAATTTCTTGCTTTGCATCGTCTTTAGGTTTCCATGAACATTAAACCGTATATTACGTCCGGTCGTAGAGGCGACGTTTAATTCGAGCATTACAAAAATTTCAATTAAGCCAATAATGGAATGATAATTAAAAATTTATTTTTCAGTGGTTTCCAGAAAGACGTGGATTAATAGTGGGACTGATCGTCAGTGGTTTCGGTCTAGGTGCGTTGGTTTTTGCACCTATTCAAACAGCTCTCATAAATCCTACAAATATAAAAGTAAATAATGTTACTCGGTAAGGCTGAAAAATATTTCTTTTATTCATTTAACCCTAATTTATGTGCTAACCGACTTGATAAAGATCCATATGACAATTAAATTTCAATTTTGATGCTTTTCTTCAACTATTATCCAGTAAACCAAGCAGTAATTTTACTCTGCAACACTAATGAGCAGTACTTTAGATTGTGTTGTACAATACGGAAACAATGAGTTGCGTACACAATCTACTGGCTTCTTTATGTTTACCACACCAGTATGTAGAGCTTAAGAATAACAGTTAAGCAGTATGTTGTATGCATGACTCAACTTTCAAATGGAACAAATGGCAGTAATTTTCAAGAAGAACGTTTAAAGTTTTCTACTTTCAGTAAGACAACTTAAGTAGATTCTTTACAACGGTAATGTCGTAAAAGCAAAAAGCTATTCCGTGTTTTGGGAATTCCTACTTACATCGCATTTCATGGGAGATTGAGGTACCTAAGTAAAGTGGGTTGAACAGTAAATCAGATGTACAGTAAAGACCACAAGAAGCACCTTTGAGATGTTCAAGAGAAACTCAATAGCCAGTTTGAAAAGTTCTGGATTTCATTCTTAATTTTCTATCCAATCACTGCTGACATTGATGAATATAAATTTCTTTACTCCATCTATTTTGAAATATGCGTGTATGATGTTTGATTATTGATAAATGGATTCACCGCTTCATAGTCTACTACTTTATGTTGACTAGTTGAAGTTAATCTGGGATTAAATTCTTGTAAAGAATGTACACCGTTGTGATGATTAAAAATTTCAGAAGTGTAACATAATTTTACAGCCATTTTTGCACATGTACGATTTCGTAAAAACAAACTGAGTGTCGAATACGCTGTCTTTGTGTTATGTAATGAATGCAATTGTCGATAACTTATGCAACGAATGTTATTAAGTTCCTCTATTTTTGGATAAATCTTAGTTTGCATGCATTATTTAAGCAGGAGGTGAATAAAAAAACAAAATCAAACTGCGAGAAGTTTAAAAAGACTTCAGTATTTTACTAGCAAAACCCATTGGTAAACACTATTGAATTTTTGATGGATGTTTCTGTTGAAAAAGAAGGTATTTCCCAGTGAAATCACTTGACGGGTTTTACCTCAAAAACAAGATGCTGGAAGATGCTTGAGTTGTAAAATTAGTGTTGGACGCACAGACAACAGCGGACATGCTCCCACCACTACCACAGAATGTTTGGAAAAAAGGAGGGAAAGGTACCTGCCAAGTGGAAGAAGGGCTACCTTGTCGAACTCCCAAAGAGGGGAGGCCTGAGTCTTTGCAAGAACTGGCGCGGAATCACTCTCCTGTCCACCCCAAGCAAACTATCAAGCCGCATCATACTGGAGACACCAAAAGATGCGCTGGACTCAAAATTACAACAGGAACAGGCTGGATTCAGGAAATACAAATCATGTGCGGATCAAATTGCAACGCTGCGCATCATAATAGAACAGAGCATAAAATGGCAGTCGACGCAACTGAACCTCAACTTCATCGATTTTGGAAAAGCCTTCGACGGCATCGACCGAGAAGTAATTTGACAGGCAGCTGCTTCGATACTACGGTTTTAGTGCTACAAACCTTTATCAACCTCATTCCAAAACTATATGCCATATGATGCTACATGCCAAGTGATTCACAATGGAAAGTTCAGTGACGCCTTTAAGTGAAGCCGAGGTTACTGCCTACTATCACCGATGATCTACCTGATTGTGGTCAACTCGACTGAACTGGACTCGATCATGCAAAAAACTGTGAGGAGCGAGAAGAGGGGCATACGCTGACTGGACAGGTTAAAAGATCCCAGAAGAAGATTTGGATTTCGCCGATGATGATTTATGTCTAATGTCTTGTCGCACAAAACTGGAAGATCTACAGGCAAAAACCAACAAGCTGGCAGAAGAGGTAGCGAAGACGGGACTTCAGGTGGGCAAAGAAAAGACGGAGGTGATGAAGATACCCAACCAACAACAACAAGCACTAATCACCATCAACGGGAGAAACCTAAAGAAAATAGTCTACTTCACCTACCTAGGCAGGACAGCATCGTTTCAACTACACGATGCGGCACAGACAAGGATTTCAAAACCAGGATCGGAAAGGTAAGACAGGCCTTTGTTCATCTGAAATCAGTGTGGAGATCTTCCGCATCCAGCATAAAGCGTGAAAAACATCCGGATTTTCAACATCAACGTCAAGTCAGTGCTTCTACATGGTTCGGAAACTTGGCATGTCAGAAAAAGCACTTACAGCAACAACAGCTGTCGTCTACGCTCACTCAATACTGACGCTGAAGATCAGATGGCCAGAATAATAGGAATAAGCAGAAAGGAACTCTGGCTGGCTGGCTGCTGACGAATCGACCAACAACCCTTCACCCAACAAATATGCAGAAGAAAGTGGAAATGGATTGGACTGAGCACACATTGAGATGGCTGACTGTGGACATCACACGCCAGGCTAGGCTGTAGAGTGGAATCCAAAGGGGAAATGATGAGTTGGACGTCCCAGCTGAGGGTGACATGGAGGAGATCATGTGAAGGAGAAATGACAGCTTGTGATCAGTCTTGGCACCAGGTTGAAAAGACTGCAGAGAAGAGAATGCAATGGAGGCACTTCCAACAAACTACAGACATTCATCAACAGGTGCCTACACTCGATACTGAAAATTGGATGGCAAGAATAGTAAGAATAAGCAACAAGGAACTCTGACTGGTGACGAACCAACCAAGAACCTATCGCTCAACAAATATGGATAAGAAAGTGGAGATGGAATGGGTTTGGCATACACTAAGAAAATTATTCGGCGACACCACGGGCCAGGCCCTTGAGTGGAACTCAAAAGGTTGGCATAGAGGAGATCATGTGGGGAAGAAATGAAAGCTTGTGGGCAGTGGTGGAGCCAGACTGAAAAGACTGCAGAGGGCAAAGTGCAATGCAGACATGCTACTAAAGCCCAATTTTCTACTAGGGGTCCAAGAGACAAAGAATAATAATAAATAATAAGTTGAAGTAATTCAGCTAAGTTGTTAGCGTGGTGAGATTTAAGTCTGCTGAACAGTAATAACGACAGTAATGATAATAACCGCTTTCCAGTAGTCTCAGACGTAGAAACAATCTCCTTAGTTGAAATAAGGAAAATATTTCTTTTTAGTGTAGTACATTACTGAAAAATGTATGATTAAAAAGCTTTCTAGACAAGTTATGGCATTATACAGTATTTCTTTAAAATTATCATTTTGCAGTAAAATATTACTCATTTACTCAAGTGGACTATTCTTATGATGTGCTTTTTTGATTTCATCTATTTTATCGTTCTACTGTACTGAATGTTCTTGAAAACTGTGTATAACTTAAGAATTTTGAAGTGGCTGAGTATTTGATTCTACAATTGGATCTGGTTGTGGCAGACAAACTAGGGTGGTTAAGCGTGAAATACGGGGTCAGTAAAAATATTTGGCTATTGAAGCTTACGTTTTACCCAATCTTTTGCTTCTATTTGATTCTCTGACTAATAAATAAGTGCTAACCAACTTATTAGGCTTACAGAGAACATTACAAAATCATCGTTTTATGTGTTTAACATGGATTACGGTTTGAATATCATCTGATGTTCTATTATCTAATGTATGATACGGTGGAATAGTATTGTTTCCTGGATGATGTTTCGACCACAATTTATTGTTTATACTATTATCAGAGTGTCTACACAGCTTTGAGACATGACTTAGATGGTTTTAGTTTCCTCTCCTTCTTAGTAACCCTGGTAGCGGAACTTTTCGAATATCTGGAACAGGTGCTGGATCGTTCCTATCGGTTGTTTACTGTCTTTTTGATAAGAGATCAAGTTATCAGTCATTCCAGCCTTTTATTTTTAAAACTCTTAAACTGCCACAGTATTATGTATACTGACATGCACACCTTAAGGTTGGCTTAAGGCCAAGCGTTTCTCTAAGCTTCTTCATTTTTTCCAACTTAGGTTGAAATGGCGTATCACTTTGTTTGAAAAGCTTAAATAACCGTAGTCAGTTACTTTTTACTTTGCTATGTTGCGTTACTGAGGCACATTAATTGTATGATAATAACGCGGAGCTTTCAAATTCTAACTTCACAGGACCAAGAGTATTATCACTAGTTTCGATAACGCTATTAGAAGAGGATGGTTATCTGCTTCAGATAATCTTCGTCTTCTAATATCGTTATCTAAATTTATTAAATGGACTAATTGTTTCGTGTTATCACTAATATTAATAATTGTTGCCATAAGTGCTCATATTTTTCATAAAAATGATTATGAATCCATTTATTAATATAGGTGGGTAGTTGCTGAGAAATACGTTTTTTTATTTTAAACGTCTGATTTTTCACCATGAATTTTCTGTCTTATCAGTCACCAGTTTTTTTCTACTTACAAACATTTAACCAAGCCTTCTTTAAATCACACATATGAGATTATCTGAGGTTCCACTGAGAATTCGAGTGCGAAGTTTTTCCATGGACACTGCTTCGTAAACTTTCATTTTCCCTCCGTTATATTGTACAATGCGATAGAGCTAGCTTCCTTGCACCATTCTGGAACTTGTACGTAAACAGGATTAGGTTTATTACTGAAATAATCTGTGTAAAAAGTTTACCCAGTACAGCGTTTTCAAGTAAATGTGTCATCTATACATCTCAATCATATCTATGTAGCAAGGCTATTTGTTTCAAGGACCCTCCGTTCCTAACTATCCATAAATGTTTGTACTGTGATAGATGGTCAGCAGTGATCCTATAGCCTCTCCTGTTTGTTTCATTTCATAACTCTAAGGCTGTGTGTGTCAGGCACAAGTGTATTCATAACATGATCTTTTCAGTAAGTGTCTTAGTCTGACGAGCATTAGACTGACCTCTAAATGCCTCTAGAGCCCTGTTTATTAGCGTATTACTTTAAAAGCTAGTTATATTGAAAGCACACTTCTTGTCTCGGCAGGTTTCAAAATATAATGAAAAACAGAAGTTGCCATACAATCACCCTTATTCCCTATCTCTTTGGATATGTTTGTGAATATGCGATTAACCAACAGAATTACCATTCAAAACTTCTGAAATTAGCTGATTAACCAAAATATCATTTCAGCCTTTAGGTCACTGGAGTGTGAGGAAAGCGAAAGATGGTAGTATAGTGTTCTCTCAGCTCTTATACTTCGTTTCGGATGTTTCGTCACCAGGCTTAGTGGAAACCTAAGCACTAACTTTATAAGAAATTGAAGCATATTCAAAGGTTACACGAATTTATAAGTGGTATTTTCTTTGACCTTAAATTTTGTCCATTTGCAGGTTAGGGACGATAACTTTGTAACACTGATCTCTTTGAACGTACATTCCTGAGTTTGTCAATCTCAACTCCTAAGGAGCACATAAATATTGTTTGTTTGCATTTTCATTGTTGTAGTTCAGTCCTCTTCGAAGTACATAATGCTTCATTGTATATAGTAGAATTTCTGAGAGATTAACTAACCATTCGTCCTTCAAATCCCTCTTTGTTAATTTTTTGTGGTTTGTACAGTTTGTTGTTCAGCTTCTTTCTCCTTTCTTCTACTTTGGTCTTAGTTTTTATATTGATGACATGTTTCAATACCTGATTAGATGATTGGTTCCAATATTTGTAATTGAGTTGCCACTGCTTTGTTGTATTTGAATAAACTGTTGTGTGGATCTGATGCCGTTAGTCGTAACATTTTTATGCCACTTTTTTGTCCAGTCTTCTATCCAGTAGGACGTTTGATAGGTGGTTTTTACCTAACATAATGTGTCCTCCTGATTCCATGCACGAAAAAGTTAAGTGCACTCAAAAGACTCTCAACTACTGAAAAATGTATGCAGCTCGGTTTGAGGATAATGATGGTTCCATGACCTCCGGATTTCTATATTTTATCGTAAATGTTTC